GAGCAGGACAGGGCCATCCTGGTGAGGGGCCGACGGCGGGAGGGGCGGGGCGGAGCGTGGGGCTGGACCCCGCGGGGGAAACTGAGGCGGGCGGGGAGCGGAGCGGGTCCCGCTTCCGGTGCCATCGCGCGTCCAGCTGCGGACACACCTGGACCGGGCCGAGCAAAGGCCGGGGAGGACCCGGATTGAGCGCAGATTCCCTGAGAGAAGGGGCAGGAAGGAAGCTGCTGACAGCCATAAGTTGCTGAAAGTTCTGAGTTGAAGCCCCCAGATAAAGAGCCCGTGGGCGTGGCTGTCACTAAAAGTCTCAGTGTGATGCTTACAGGAAAGGGTGCCTCTGTGGCGTGCAGGAAGCCCCGGGGACACTCGTGTCACAGATCCTGCTATCAGGACACCACCGTCAAGCACGCATCTGCCACAGTCCAAGGTGCCAGGGCCACAGTGGGGAGAGCCCAGCCCTGGCCGCTGCTGCCGCCGCCGCCGGATCTGCTCAGGTTGCTGGCTCCGCAGAGGCCCAGCCTGGCCTTGCTGCAGCTCCACTGGTTTCCCCTCCAGGCGAGACTCCTAACGCTTTGTGCACAGCTGGCAGAAATAGCCAACCAAGAAGAAAGAGCACATGTAGCCTGGCCACAAGGCCTCTGAAACTCAAGGGCGGAAACAGAGAGCTCTTTCTCCCATGCCTGCTGAGAGGCAGACCCTGTAGAGAATGCTGGGTGAAGGTGGGGGGCCTGGGAGCTGAACCCCTCCCCCAGCTAGCTTAGTTTCCCCGGTAACCTAGAGGGCATGATGGATCTTAAAGGTGCCCGTTGCCTTCACTTACAATGTCTGCCCTCAAGGTGCCCTCCTGCGTGTGAAATGTACCCAGGGCCCGCACCTGTTCATCGTAACTCCATCTGCAGTGACTGCATTTGGACACAAAATGGAAATGGCCTAAGTTGGGAGGACAGACCATAGTTGAATAGTGGCCATTGTCCTTTCAGGTAGATGACAGTGGAGACAGGAAAGCTAAGTGCACGATAAAAACGGGAAGAGTTGTGTGTGGCAGCAAACTTTCAGTAGGCTGAGGCAGGGGGATTGGGCATGCAAATTCATGTTCTCTGATCTATTAGAACCTTCTAGGACCTGGTGGCCCCTTCAGTGACCCACAGAGCTTAGGCTATGTCTGGAGCCAAGTTGTGACTGAGGAGGGTGAAAGTCTCCTCCTTGGCACAATGGGCCTTGGCGCGGTGTGAGTCCAGAGGTGTTTCTGCATATTGCTGCATATTGCTGGGTGGCAGAGGCCACCGTTAGAGAGGATGGCCCGGCCTTTCCCGACCATGCCGGGACTAGCAGCCTGATGGAAGGAGCCGCTGACCGGGCTGCATCCTTGATGTTTCCCCAGCAACTGAAGCAGCAGAGGGACAAGCTGAGGCAGTACCAGAAGAGGGTCACACAGCAGCTGGAGAGGGAGCGAGCCCTGGCCAGGCAGCTGCTGCGGGACGGCAGGAAAGAGTAAGGGGCACTGCCTCGGGGCTAGCATGGTGGGAGAGGAAGCACGTCCCTGGAGTGCAGCCAGAGCAGACAAGGTGACTTCCCTTGCAGACGGGCCAAGCTGCTGCTCAAGAAGAAGAGGTACCGGGAACAGCTGCTCGATAGGACGGAGAATCAGATCAGCAGCCTGGAAGCCATGGTAAGCAGTGGCTTTGCTGGGAACCAGAGCTCCTGGGAAATGGGGTGGTGGCTGGGCTACCCCAGGGTGGGATGTGGGGAGCAGGCCGTGCTGGTGGGGACCACATGTGTGTCTCCCAGGGTTGGGGTAAGAACACCCTGGTTTGCCCTGCTGGCTGGAGCCACTGAAAGGCCTTCATCATCCTTTGGAAGTGTCCAGCACTTTCTCAGTAAATCCCAGCCACCATAGCAGGGAACCAGGAAGGGTGGGGCAGTCCTTCCAAGGCCAGAAGCCTGTCACCCATGAGTCCAGAGTCCAGCATGCTTCTGACCACAGACTGCCGCTTTCAGGTTCAGAGCATCGAGTTCACGCAGATCGAGATGAAGGTGATGGAGGGGCTTAAGGTGGGCAACGAGTGTCTGAATAAGATGCACCAGGTAGGTCCCGTGGGGCTCGGCAGGCGGGTGCAGCTGCAGGCAGCTCAAGTGGGGGGGGGGGGGTTGTGCCAGCTCAGGACCTGAGTCTAGCTGGACTGGGGTGTGCTAGTGCCTGACAGGGACCAGCGGGACCCGAGGGAGGTGTGGCTTGGCACAACCTTTGAGCTGGGTCCCCTGGTGCTGCATGGTGAGAAAGGCAGGGAATGGTGAACAAATTCTGACCTCTCAGAGCTCAGGAAGCTGCATAGGTGTGGTGAGCGGGCTGGTCAGGGAGCCCAGGGCTCAGGGCCAGAGGTTGGGCTTACTGCCTCTCTGGGTGTTCGAGCAGGGTCTGGGGTACGGAGTGCACACAGGGGAAGTCTGGTCACCACCCAGGAAGGATTTCCAGTTTTGACCTGTTTTACTTATAGCTGTCAGGGTTGTTCCGGGTCTGGGAAGGTTTGGGCAGTGCCGCTGAAGACAGGCCTGGCTCAGAGCCAAGGGCAGGCCTACTTCCCTGGCTTTGCTGGAAGAGAATGGGTGAGGGTGAGGGCACGGCCTTGGCCAGGGCTGGCATTTGCCTTGTAGAGCATCTCTGGAACTCTTCATCCACAGGTGATGTCCATAGAGGAGGTGGAGAGGATCCTGGATGAGACCCAGGAGGCCGTAGAGTACCAGCGGGTATGTTCTGTGCCCAGCACCACCCCCATTGCCAGGTTGGCACACGTCCGGCTAGCCACTGCTTCCCAGGGGGACCCAGAGCCCGCCAGGCCTGCTCACTGCCAGTTACTGTTCCCAGGGGGACCCAGAACCCTGCCAGGCCTGCCTCTCAATACATCTCTTCCTTCCACAGCAAATTGATGAGCTGCTGGCTGGCAACTTCACTCAGGAGGATGAGGATGCCATCCTGGAGGAGCTGAATGCAATCACTCAGGTACAGGTTCCTGGGGCTGTCTGGTTCTCTGGGGGATGGGACCCTATAGGCCTCTGCTTGGTGGTGTCTCCAGCTCTTACGTTTGAGCCCAGAGTCCTGGTTTCCCAGTTTCCTCCCAAGGTGGTTTTCATTTGTGCTGAAGCCAAGCTTCTTCCACGCCCGGTGCCGGCCGCTGGGGAGCTGTGGAGGAAGAGCGGTTGGCAGCTGACTGGCAGCTTGCTGCAGGCTCCTGTGGCCGTGTGTGGACAGAGGGAGACGCTCAGCGTGCCCTGCCCCATCAGCCTGTGCTTTCCTCTTGGGCTTAGTGGAGCCCTGTTCACCTCTGCACGCCAGGCCCCGAGGGTCCACTGGGCTGCAGCTGTGTCTGACCTCTGTGTTCAGGCCATGAGCTCTGTCGCTGCCCAACTTAACCTCGCTGGCCACAGCTGCTGCTTGCTGAGGTCATCCAGAGCCACCTGCTGTCCACATCCCCGGGGGACTGTCTGGGAAGTTACTCTTTGGGTCCTATAGCTATTCGTCTGTAGGGCCAGGAGCCCTATGGGCTGCCGGGAAGACAGCCCACGAGATGACAGAGGCCACCATGGAGCAGCTCTCCTCCACAGTCTTCCAGGACTGGGGCCCCCTCAGTGCCTCCCAGCAGAAGCACACAGCTTCCTAGCCCTGGGGATTCAGATAGCCTGGTGCCTCCTTCCTCCATAGTCTATGCAGTCCCTGCTTGTGAGCCAATATTCCTAGGAGTATCTCCAGATCGCTGGGGATCCTGGGCCCCGTAGTGGCCTTGTCCCCTTCGCAGTGGTCATCTGAAGACGCTGTAGATAGGAAGCGGACAGAGCGACAGGGCCAGGCCCTGGAGCCGGCAGCCTGTGGCGGCACACAACCTGCTCACACCTCTTCTCTGCTTCTTGCAGGAACAAATCGAATTACCAGAGGTTCCTTCGGAGCCCCTTCCTGACATCAATCCAGGTACCATTGTGTTTTGTGTGTGTGTGTTGGTCTGAAGGAGTGTAACCCAGGTCTCCATGGAGCCCTACACAGTGGTCCTCTCACCTGGCCCGGCAGCAGCTCCCACAGCCCAGTGAGCCTGTGACTGCCCCAGATGATGGAGAGTGGGTCCCTGGCCTCTGGTGGGCTCTCATGGGCTCCAGACCAGCTCATAGAGACTCGTCCACTCATTAGCCTTGGGAGAAGGCTTGTAGCCACTCGGGCCCTAGAGGGCTCAGAGCTCCCAGGAGTCCAGCAGTCATCTGGAACTCACAACCTGGGCAGCGCTGCCCCTCCAGCATCATGGTCGCATGTCAGGAGCCTCCCTGCACTCTAGTCAGTGAATTAAGTGGAAACTCAAAGTCTTAGTAGCTCCACATGTCCCTCTGTGGCCGTGTGGCTTCTGGGAGCTCCGAGCCTCCTGAGGCCTCCTGGACAGGCTGTGCCCCTGGCCTCTAGGCCCATCTGGCTTCCTGTTTATAACTTCCCTTCCCTCTGGGCATGCCCCTCGCCTGCAGCCTCTGACCTCATCCTCTGAGAGTTTGCTGTGCTCTGGGTGCATTATGAACGGTTTCTTTCTCCACAGAAGCCCCTGCCAAGGCCAGATCGAGGCAGGCAGAGCTGGTGGCAGCCTCGTAACTTGGACTCTCCAGGGACTCGCAGGGATTCTCTGAGGACTGTCCCAGAGCATTCGGCTGCGTGTCAACCCTGAGGGCTCCCAGGAGGCCTGAAGGGCTGCGCTGGTGGCTGGAGCAGCAGCTTACATGGGCCCTGCATCAGGGCCACAACGCACCCTCGCAGTTTAGTCTGGATGCACCATTGTCTTGCTCTCATTCTGGATTAGTGGACACCCAAAGCCCAGCCAGGCCCAGCTTCAGGCAGCTGTGGTTCCCACCAATACTCCTGGTGCTGTTCTCATGGCTGACCCAGTCCGTGTGACCTGCGCTCTTTTCTGAGGAAGCACTTCAGACTGGGGTCCCTATACTTCCGACTCGTCTCTGCTGCTCACATGAGCTGGTGGGGGGCTTCAGTTAAGGGATTCTCACAGTGCCTGGCCTCCTGCTGTCCCTGTTTCCCTGCAGGCTAGCGACAGAAGCCCTAGGGGACTGGTGTTCTCCAAATATCTTGGGACATCTTCTTTAGCATTTGAGACTTGAGCCTCTTATGTTTGGGGGAGATGGACCAGGGCCACCCTGCTGAATGGACAAATCTAGGAGCCTGACTTGGGGTCTCCACAGAAGACAGACCCTGCTCCGATGGGTGTGTACCTCCATGGCATCCTGGACACAGCTGCCAGTCCCTAAGCCACCAATACCAGGAGGTGCAGAGCTTGAAGGTGACTTCCAGGGTCCCGAGCTCATCTGACACCGGACAGTCCCTGGTCCTCGAGCCTTTGGGAACACAGGGCTACCAGGAAAGGGCATCTCTTCCTTAACCCAAAACAGGCCAGCTCCAGTATTAAAGCTGGCCTCTGCATGGTCTCCCGCCTCTTGGACTTGAGTCTGGTGTACTGGTCTGGTTCCCTGCATGGGAGCAGTTACATGGGTGGATTGGAGCACAGCCCATGACCCAGCTGACCCAGGTGCACGAGGGGAGGGGAGCTTTAGGCTCCTCCCTACGGAAGCCTGGGGCTTCTGAGTCCCAAGGGTAACCTTGGCCATGCCTAGCAGCTGTCTTTGAATGCAGAGGAGGGCAGGACTCTGGCCACTCTAAGTGTGCATGGGGCTGGTGGTTTCAATGGCCAGACCCCAGTTCTGAGACGCCTTGTGACAGAGAGTGACTGGTTTGCGGTTGCAGTGCACAGGGGGCATCCTGTCTGGTAGACAACTGTCAGGTCCCCTCCATGGAGCAGGTTCGGGGCTTCTCAGGAGACAGTGGAACCTGAGGGTGCCCATGAAGACTGGGAGCAGCCCTGAGACCCACCAACACTGCCTCTCCTGCAGTGCCCCTGTTCACCAGGAGGGGGCTCTGTCCACCTCTGCTGCTGGAGTGCGTGGCCACACTGAAGGGAGTTTTACAGGCCGTGTCCTGCAACAGTAAATCTAGGCCCTGCAGGCACCCACATCCTGCGGTGGACACTGTTGAGGTGACAGGTGCTGCAGGCAGAGCTTCAGAGGCCCAGGATGGCCAGGCTCCACTCAACTCGTGTCTGACCTGTGCTGGGTGGAGGTCAGCTGTCCACTGGGAGAGCCCAGGGCAGCCAAGAGTCCTATCTCGTGAGTAGAGACTCCTTTTAGGGACGACATCTTACTATGTGGCCCAACTGCCTATGCCGTCCACTGACCTTGGCCTTCTGGATGCTGGGGTGATTGCTGTGCACCTCTGCCTAACTTGGGGTGTAGCCTTTAGGTTTCACCCCTGACCCTGTGAACTTTGATCTTCTTAGGACCCCCTTGCTCTATCATGGTTCCTTGAGTCAGTGCAGTTGGTATAGGATCCATGACAGCCACGAGCTCAGTATAAAGCTTGTGGCAGAGACAACCCCTGAAGATGTGGAGGTGAGCAATGGGGCCGCGAGTGGGGGCCAGTGGCCAGGCTGGGGCAGAGGGACTGCAGGACAAGCAGCGGTGCTCCCTGGAAGCCACCTGAGATGGTGGTTAAAAGGCTAGCTCATGGAATGAGCGTGCGTGGGCGGCTGGGGTGAGGACACCTGTGGTACACAAGGGACGATGGGCACATGCTTGGTGTGCTGCTGGCTGCTGTGCAGAGCCCTGGCTCGGGGAAGAACCCAGCTGGCTGTCTTCTGCATCAGCCACTAACACCTTGGCTCCTCAGCTCCTTCATCTGTGAGATCTTCAGAGCAGACTCCCCATGCCTGCAGCTCAGAGTGAATCCTGTAGGCTGGTCACCCGAGTCTGGCAAGGTGGCTTCATGCTAGCAATCCCAACACAGGGAGGTAGAGGCAGGGGGCCAGCTTGGGTCACATTGTAAGACCCTGTCTCCAGAACACATAGTCTGGGTATGTGGCTCCTGGGTAGAGCAGGTGGCTCCCCCGTAACCTTGGAGCCATCAGCTGGCATTTCTCGCCTTGCAGCCTGGCGCTGGAGCGAACTGGGTTTACCGGTGAGCGATGCTAATGACTTTTCTCCTCTATCAGTCTCTATCTAATTGTCTGTTTCAAAATGCTTTAATTTTTTTAAAAAAATTATATGCCGTGGTGTTTTGCCTGCATGTGTGTCTGTGTGAGGGTGTTGGGTTCCCTGGAACTGGAGTTACAGACAGTTGTGAGGTGTCATGTGGGTGCTGGGAATGAACCCGGGTCCTCTGGAGGAGCAGCCAGTGCTCTTAACTGCTGAATCATCTCTCCAGCTCCTCAAAAAAATATTTCTGAACTTATTTATGTGTATGAGTGTTTGCCTGTATGTATGTATGTCTGCGCACTGTGCACGTACCCACAGAGCCCGGAAGAGGGTGTCGGATCCCCTGGACTAGAGTCACTGATGGTTGTGGGCTGTCTGTCCTGTGGGTGCTGGGAGCTGAAGCTGAGGCCTCTCAAGGGAGCCATCTAGACAGCCCCCAATCAGTTTTTCTTTACATAACCCCACTCCTCCATCTTTACAGCACCTCTTCATTCATCCCGGGCATCAGGGCTGCAGCGTGTCACCTAGCAGACCCTTTTGTCCAATCAGCGCCTCCACAAACCTTCACTGCCACGAGTCATTGGTCTGGGTCAAGGCCTCTGGCACACCATCCTAGCTGGAACCTCACTAAAACCCCGCTGCAGATGTCCCTTTCGGGCTCTGGGGTTGGTCAAGGCCCCTCGGGTGAGGGGCAGAGCTAGCTCTCCTAGGTCCGTGCCATCAGTGCCAGCTCTCCCTCACCTGTGCCGAGGAGCAGGGCTATCTCTCTTGAGTGCAGGGAGGAGGCGGGGAGTCAGTTCTCCTGTGTCCAGCAAGAGGCAAGGCCAGCCATCCCGGGGTCAGCGAAGGACAGGGCTGGCTCAGCACGGCCCTCGTATTTCAGCACGTATGGTTCCTATAACCCTGATAACAGCCATGGGCATCAGCTCAGACCCTGACTGCTGCTGAGTAACGGACCCAAACATGGCCCACGGCAGTAGCCCAGCCCCAGGTGATACCACAGCCCCATGTGGCTGTACAAGCCGCCCAGAACAGCATGGCCCTCAGCCACCAACAGGTTGCAGCCCAGACCCCTGGTATCCGTGTGGCCTTTGATGGTACGATGGGCCACAGACATCAACACAGACCCCGGCTGTGGTAGAACCATGGACCTAGACATGGTCCTCGGAAGCAGCCTGGGCTTGGATGTCACCATAGCCTCAGGTGGCAGCACAGGCCACTCAGATTGGCATGGCCCCTGTGGCAGCAAGGCCCTCAGACACCAACATGGCCCCAAGGGGCGGCCCAGACCCCTGGCATCAGCTTTGCCTTCGCTGATATCAGGAGTCACAGACATCAACACAGACTGTGTCCAGATGACACTATGGTGGCAGCAGGGGCCACTCAGATTGGCATGGCCCTGGCAGCAACATGACCCAAAGGTGCAACATGGCCACAGGTTGCGGCCCAGGTCCTGGCATCGTGTGGCCTTTGGTGGCACCACGAACCCCTCAGTCATCTCGCGGTACCATCACAATGGCAATGAAATTTGAACCTGGGTCTTGGAGGCAGCGGCACCGAGTGTAGTAACCATGGAAATGAATGAAAACAGTGGGTTTCACACAGACCAGAACAGCGCTGCCCCTCCCTCGAGGCAGCTGCAGCTCAGCCAGCTCACAGCGGCAGACGCTGGGACCAGACCACTGCTGTTCTGCGTTCTGGTTGGCAGTTCTGAGGGCCCACGCCAAGACTGCATTGCAGGTTAGACACCAAGCCCTGTAGCCATCCCCCGATATGGGTGTAGCCATTCATGGCCCTCCCCACCCTCACCCCTGGAGACCACTGGTCTGCTTTCTTGAGAATCACATACTAGTAATCACTGTGGAACCTATGAGACCATGGCACCTGCCACTCTACATAGGGCCTCTGTCAATGACCCGAGTGGCCGTGTGCGCCCTGGGTGCATTCCTTTGTCAAGCTTTGTGACAGTCTCTGGTGTGGGTTCACACTTGTTGGGGGATACTGGAGTCTATACAGAGCTTGCTGATTGTTGCTAAGCACCAGCCATGGCAATGCACACCTGTAATTCCAGCACCCCAGTGGCAGAAGCAGGAGAATCTTTCTGCTTTTGAGACCACCAGCGTGAGCCTATCTCTCTTTTTTTTTAAGATTTTCCTATGGTCAGGCTGCCCCCTGCTCTGAGGCAGGCACTGGTGTGTACCCTGACTGAGGACCAGTTTAGACGGCTGCAGCCCGGACTTACCTGCTCATCACTTTGCTGCTGTTTGCCCTAGCTGATGACTCCTGCAGGGTGACCTTCTCACTCCCTAGTCACCTGTGGGAAGAATGACGTGCTGCTCTGGCCTCAGGTAAATGGGGAGGGCCGCATGCTCCCACCAGCCAGGGAGAGCTGGGAGTGAGGGTGTTACCATGGAAATGCTGCAGGCTTACAAGAAAGCTGTTCTGTCTGGCTCTTCCTTCCAGGGGTGGACCTATGGATCAGGGCTTGGGCCATCCGTTGACTGGATCCCCAGGGATGGGGACATACCCTGTAAAACTATGCGCTAGGGGAACTAGGCTGAAAATTTAAAAGTACACAAACACCGACAGAGACAGACAGACAGACGGGGACACAGGGACATCCTTGAGACAAGAACGCCATGAATGCCCACTTTATTGCGCTCAGGGGCAGCTTATATGGGGCTCTGGCCACGCCCCAGCTCCCAGGATTTTTCAGTCACGGACCCACCAGAACCCACTTCCCTGCCATCAGGGTCTCATGCTTAGAGCAGCTGCAGGCTGCGCAGAGCAGAGGAAAACAAGTTGTTTTCGGGAAATTCAGGGTCTGGTGATCTGCAGTCCCCAACACCCCCCTCTTCCATGTTCCTCATTAACATTTTCCAATTCCGTGCCAAGTCCACCAGCCTGGGGAGACAGGGTTGCTACCCCAGCACTGCAAGTCCACTCAACAGTCATTTTTGGCCTTCGGCTGTCCTGAGGAGCCAGGCTTTGTGGAGTATGTGACCTCCTGCCAGGTCCTGAATGCTATCCGGGGTTCTGTCACCCCTGGTTTCCAAAGGATGTCCCTTCCTCACAGCGCCTGAGCAAGGGCTCACCGGCTCTGAGTAGTTGAGTTCGCTGAAGTTCTGAGAGTAGCAAAACAGAGGAACAAGGGGGCTGGCAGCCTCCATTGCTCCCGGTGGTGGTGGGGTTGGTTCTGTGTCCTGTGCTCAAGCTGCCGTGAGACTGTGGTGGTTCTGGGGACACTCTCACGACCTCAAAAGAAAGCCTAAGCCCCTTAGCTGTCATTTCTTCCCCGATCTGTCCCCCCCTTGCCACCCAAACCAACCCCGAATCTGTTGTTGTAGAGTTTGGGTTTGGACATACAACTTCGCCCACAGGGCCAAGGAGATGGCTCGGTGTCTAAAGGCCCTTGCCACTAAGGTCACAGAAATGACCGGGGTTAGATCCCCTGAAATTGACTCTCATAAGTTCTCTAACCACACAAACTCACTATGGCACGAGCAGAGTGTGCGTGTGCACGTACATACATGTTTTTTAAGTATTAAAAACTTAAAATGTCCTCTTCAGACCCATGTGCTTGACCACTTGGGCCTCAGCTAGGGGCCCTGTTCTGGGAGGCCGTGGGACCTGAGGGGAGGAAAGGTAGTGCTGGAGAATTGTCTGTATTCTGTCAATCATGTTTTAAATAAAATCTGATTGGCCAGGCAGGAAGTATAGGTGGGTCTACCAAACAGGAAGTAGAGGCGGGGCAATGAGAACAGACCTCTGGGAAGGAGGAAGCCCATTCCTCCCAGTCCTGCCCAGATCATGGAAGAAGCAAGATGTAACCTGCCCGGCTGAGAAAGGTACCAAGCTACATGGCTAATGTAGATAAGAACAATGGGTTAATATAAGCTACAAGAGTTAACAAGAAGCCTGAGCTAATGGGCCAGTCAGTTTATAATCTTATGGAGCTCTCTGTGTGATTTTCTCTGGGACTTGCTGGCTGTGGGGTATCAAGTGAGACAAAAACCCCAACAAGCCAGCCCTCCATGTTACAGAAAGGGGTCACTGGGGCTGTGGGTCTCAGCTAGGGGCCCTGTTCTGGGAGGCTGTGGGACCTGAGGGGAGGAAAGGGGCCACTGGGGCCCTGGACCTGCAGGGGGCCATGGGCCTGGGGGGCCTGGGAATCTCAACCATGATGGACTACACTTTCACAACCATGAGCCAACATGAATCCTCCTCCTCATGCCCTTCTTGTAGTTGGTCACAGCAACAAAACACAGTCCCTATCTGGTTTTCTGTGACTGTCTTCTACCCTGTTTGGGGGTGTCTGTTGTAGTGTGTGGCAGTTCTCCCAATAGCCAAACAACGTTCCTTTTGTATGTTTGGTTGTCCTTCACTATGGTGAACATTTGATTTGTTTCCATGTTTTGGTTATTATAAATGAGTTTGGGGTAAGCCTCTGCCATTGTTTTTCCTGGTGAGTGGTAAACCTGTGTGTATTCTATTGGGAACCCGCAGCTTTTCCTAGGGGCTGCATCACCTCCCATTCCCAAAAGGACATCTGAGGCTCCCCCTTCCACAGTTGCACCAAGGTGGCTTTTTACGCCCCCCCCCCAGCTGGTGTGCACAGAGTTGTGTGTTTCTGGGGTTTTGTGGTTTTTTTTCACTTAGGGATTGTGTGTGTGTGTATGTGTGTGCGTGCTCACACACACACACGTGCACACCATATATGTGTAGTGTCCATGGAAGCCAAAGAATCTGTGGGATCCTCTGGAGATACAGGTGGTTGTGAGCTGTCTGGCATGGGTGCTGGGAACTGAGTGTAGCACAGCTAATAAAAACTTAAGAGACAAATATTGGGGTTCAGCCTCAAGGCCAGAAAAGCAAAACAGTCAGTCACTGGCTCTTACCTTGATCTCAGTCCAAAAATGGTGATCCTGCCTCCAGGAATCTCAGAATGAGACTGAGTCTGAGAGCTGTCTCCTGGCATTTTACATTCCTCTTTAGAGCTGGGATGAAAGGTGTGCACCACTACTGCCCAGTTTCTGTGGCAAACTAGTGTGGTTACTGGGATTAAAGGTGTGTGTCACCACTGCCTGGTCTGTAAGGCTGGCCAGTGGGGCTGTTTTACTCTCTGATCTCCAGGCAAGCAAATTTTAATTTGTATGAAAATACAATTGAAATATCACTACAACTGAGCTCGGTGCTCTCAGCAGAGCCATCTCGGCCCTGTCCCTTCTGTTTGAGCTGCATTTCCTTGATGTTTCATGACATGTGAGCTTTTCTCATATGTCAGTGGCCATCTGTAATCTTCTTAGAGACATGTCCTGTTCTGAAGTAGGTTAAGTTGTCTTATTATTATCTTGTAAGAATTCTTTATTCTGAGCCAGGAGTGGTGGCAGACATCATTGATCATAGGACTTGGGCTGAGGCAGGATTGTGAGTTCCGACACAGTGAGACTCTGTCCCAGTGCATAAATAAAAATAATAAAATGAAACTTGTGTGTAGTCTGGGTATTAGAACTCACGTGACTTTGATGCATTCTGCAAGATGGTTACTCTTTGATGATTTTTTTTGAAGTTCTGCTTTTTAATTTTGATGCTGCACCTTCCGCTCCCTCTTTTGCTGCTTTCGTTTCTGCTGTCACAGCGAAAAGCCCTTGCCTGACCCAAGGTCAGTATCTAGGCCTGTGATTTCCGGATTTCTTTCTCTCTTAGTTCTTATCTTTTGTTGTTGTTGTTTGTTTTGCTTTGTTTCTCTGTGGAACTCGCTCTGTAGAACAGGCTAACTTGAACTCACAGAGATCCGCCAGTCACCGCCTCCCTAAAGACGTCGTGCCTTCACGCCTGGCTTATTACTTATCTTAAGGCCTTGTTCCCAGCTGAGTTAACTCATCTGTGCTGCGAGGCTGATAGGTCTGACTTCATTCTTTTGTAGGTAGATGTCCGGCTGTCCAGCACAGTAGGTAAGAGGTCACCACACTTGAGCAACTGAAACTGGAAGATCAGGACTTCCAGGACGGCTCAGACGTGTAGTAACAAGAAAACCAGAGATCTGGGTATGGTGGTGCACACCTTTAACACCAGAACTTGGGAGGCAGAGGCAGGAGGATCTCTGTGAGTTCAAGGCCAGTCTGGTCTACAGAGTGAGTTCCAGGACGGGCTCCAAAGCTACACAGAGAAACCCTGTCTCGAAACCCCCCCCCAAAAAAAAACCAAATGAGGGGGGAAGAGGGAGGGAGGGAAGGTGGGAGAGAGAGAGAGAGAGAGAATTTTCCCCACTGAAGTATTCTAGCATCCTGGCAGAGCAATGATCTTGAAGAGTCCCGTGGCAGCCGAGGGCACCAGCCTTACAGGCTCCTGTATCCCTGTCGTAGGTTTTGAGATAGGGAACTGAGTGCTCCGACTTCATTCTTTTATAAGACCGTTTGGGCTGTTATGGGCTCTGGAATTTCCATATGAATTTTAGGATAAGCATCTCGGTTTCTGCAAAGGAGCCACATGGCGCGGAGCTCCGAATGGGCATGCAGTCTGGGGATAAAGCGAGATGCTGTCCCGCGAGCGAGTGTACGGGAGCCTTCAGACCCAGGAGCTCGGCTCTGCTCTCTCAACCAAGTCTTATCTTTCCAGGGTATTGGTTTTGTCAAACTTGCTTTCCTCTGTGTGTGTGGCACACACATGAAGGGCACATCCGCGTCTTTTTGTTACTGTGAGGAAACACCACGAGCAAGGCAGCTAACAGAAGGGTGGGTGTTCACGGTAGAGGCGGAGCCCACGGTGGCGAGGGAGGCGTGGCTGGAGGAGCAGGAAACCGGGAGACCACATCTTCATCCCTCTCAGAGAGCAGAAGAAGTAAACAGGAAGTGGGGAGAGAGTATGAACCCAGAGTCCACCTCCTCCAATGGCATTCTTCCTCCAGCAAGGCTCCGCCTCCCAGCGCTTCTGCCACGCCAGAACAACACCCCTAACCTGGGACCAAGTTTTCAAATATCCAAGCCCCATGGGGACGCTTCTCATTCAAACCACCACCGGGGCCAGGGCGGGACATCGGGTGTCTCCGCATCTGTGGCTTTCAGCTTCATTGCCTCGAGACAGAAGCTCTCTGTCTTGGGGGCTGTCTGGCCAGTGCCTCTTGGGTCCTACCTGGCTCTGCTGTTCAGTGCAGGGGTTGTAGGTGCATGCAACCATGGTTACATGCTGCTGAGGCCTTGTGTGGAGACACGGTCACTCCATGCAGCCCAAGCTGGCCTAGGACTCACTGTGTAGACCAGGCTGGCCTCCAACTGAGCTGCTTCTGCTTCCCAAGTGCTGGCACTGCGGGTGTGTGTTGCTCTGTGCCCCACAGCCCTCCTGAGCCGTTTGGGCTATTTTCATAGCCCTTAGGATTGTCCAGACAGATCATCTGTCTGCAAATAGATCGTCTGAGTTCTCCATTTCCAAGTTGGCTGTTTTCTGTTCCCTTTCTGTGCTGACCTGTCCTGGGGAAACCCCTCCGTGGTTTTGGGGAAGGCGGCTAGCCCCGCTTTGTCTCCATCCCACTCCCAGGCGGAAGAGAGGAGAAGCAGGCCAGGACCACTGTACACAGTTCCTGTGGGCAGGGTGGAGCCAGGGCCGATGTATCCGGTCAGAATCGGAGATGTATGCTGCACCCAGAGCACTCAAGGGTGTGGCCGATGGCTTTGGGGCACATGGGTATCGGCTTAGGGGAGTCAGATCTATGATTTGAAGCTAGGAGAGATGCCAGCGGAGTGAGTGACAACCATGGCTAAAAATGGGGTCACAGCTCCGGTCAGGCCAGCCTGGGTCGACGTTACCAGAACACAGAGGGCCTGTGAGGGTCAGCAGGTGGAGGTGCTGGGTGCCCCGGACCTGAGCTGGATTCCTAGAACCACATAAAGAGGGAAAGAACTGGCTCCACAAAGTTGTCTGATGGCCTCTATGTGTCCTATGCACGGTGCACACGCATACCCCACACACAATAAGAGAAACACATGTAGAGTCTGTGACGTGTGACTTTTCCAGAGAGACATGAACAGACGCTTGTTCACGCTGGGCAGGGAAAGACAAAGAAATGACGTCACTCAAGGTCCATGTGGTGGAGCAGAGGTTTTATTGGGGTTACAGGCAGAGCCAGGGTGAGGGGCCCTCCCAAGAGCAAGGAGACTCCGGCAGCCACACCACTGAAAAGCCCGCTGTTCCGTCCAACCCCAGGCGAAGAGGTCCTGCTGGATGTACACACAGCTAGCAGCTGCTCGCTCTTACCAGCCTGGGGACCTTCCCAGCCCAGCAAGGTCCCCGAGTCTGAGGAGCCTCCCTCTTCTGCCTGGGAGGGGATGGTTCAGGGTTACCAGTCAGAGGAAATAGCTCAGCAGTCACAAACCAGTGCGGTTCAGGAAGCCTGGTTTGGTTAGAAAACGCTGGAATCTGGTGGTCACAGGCTCGCTTACCAGCAGGTGTTCCTAGGCTGGGGACACCTTCCCTGTGGCTGCAAGGGGCAGGGCCTCCCACAGCTGCTCCATCAGTTCCAGGCGGCAGTGAGTCTGAGGGGGCAGTCACTCATCACCACGGTGCCCGGCTGTTCAGGGACTCATGCGCACAGCAACAGGCACTGGCTGGGGTGAAGGATAAACTTGTGGTTAGACAGGAAACACCAGCTACCGAGGGGACTGACTGATCAGATCCGTCCTTCCCGGGTGGTATGAGGTGGAGGCACTATGAGTCTTTCTATGGTGGTAGATCATTCCAGACTATGAGCTGTCTAAGAACCATGTGGGGCCAGGCTGCTACGGTGGTGCATACTTTTAATGCCTCAGATGGCAGAGGCAGGTGGATTTCTATGAGTTCCGCAGCTATACGGTAAGACCCTGCCTCAAAACAAACAAAACGAAAAACTACTTTGTTCTCCAGCACTGAGCAATGTTCCCCTTGTGCCTTGCTAGGAAACATATTTAGGGAGAAGGGGGTAACATAAATAAATGTATTCCTATCATAATCTCTCCACACTCATTCCAGACTCACCGCATTTAGCTCGCATTTGACTGTAAGGTTATTTGGGGTGGGGTATATTTTTGTACACACACACACACAAGCATGCATGCACACTTGCACATACGCCCCCATGTGTGTGCAAGTGTGTGTGGGAACCAGAAGAGGGCATCAGATTCCAGTGTCTGGAGCCACAGGCAGTTGTGAGCTGCCCAGTGTGAGTGCTGGGATGACCTCAAGTCCTCCTAAGCACTGAGACACAGTCTGGATCCAGGCTAGCCTCCTGGGGGTGGCGATTCTCTGTCCACCTCAGTTTTTCACTGGGATGCATCAGGCTCACTGGGGTGTTCCTGTCCTAGCCACCTCTACTCTCCCTGACCGTGTGAAGAAGGCAGACACACTTTCCTTCCGGGTTAGACATCACTCGGCCAGCGGGGCTGACACAGACCACAGTGGATGACACATGGGACCCGGATGCCACACAGGAAAGAGTCAATTCTAGCCAGAGTTCAGACCCCGACTCCCATGTAACAAGCCAGGTGTGTTCCACAGAGGGACCAAACTCTCTTCTAGCTTCTAGTAGATGAGTGCGTGCCAACAGGACAGGAGTGCATACACACAGAATAAATCGAGAAGGACAGACAGATAGGTTGGCTTCAAATCATTCATCTGAGGTGGGATGCATCTTCTCTGGGCTATTTTTCTCCTGTGTCAAAGCATCCTCTGTGGAATGCATGCCTTATGGTAGCATTCAGGCCTCTCTCGATCCTGGGAAACAAAACAGTCTATAAAGTACTGCAGAACAGAGGGCCTGGGAAGCAGAGGCCCGGGAAGCAGAGGGCCCGGGAAGCAGAGACCCGGGAAGGGCTCTCTGGTCTCATTTCCTCCCACAGCTCTGCCCTGGGTAGAACTCAGAGCTACACAGCAGAAAGGACAGCGTCACCTCAGAGGGAAGCTGAGGAGCTGGGAAAGGGGTCTCTCAGGAAAGGATGAGCTCAGGAAGGACCCCACACGTGCCAGGCTTCCCCGAGTCACACATGTGAGAGTCAGAGACCCTAAGAATCAAGACGAGAAGGGATTCATGAATCACTGAAGGCAGCAAGGTCTGAGGTCTGAGCGAGCTGTTGATGGACTGTAAAGATGGAAAAAAACATTTCTGGGCCGGGCAGTGGTGTCGTATGCCTGTAATTCAGCACTCTGGAGGCAGAGGCAGGAGGATCTCTGTGAGTTTGAGGCCAGCCTGGTCTACAGAGTGAGTTCCAGGACAACCAGGACTACACAGGGAAACCTTGTCTCAAAACAAACAAATAAGGAAAGGACAAGAGGGAGGAAGGGAGGGAGGGAGGGAGGGAGGGGGGGGGGGAGGGGGGGAGGGAGGGAGGGAGGAAGAGAGGGAGGGAGGGAGGGCAGGAGGGAGGAAGGAAGGACAGGCAAACACTCTTGAGGTGGCTAGTTTGTAACAGACTCCACAGTGTGACAATCCAGCAGTCCAATTTACAACTTAGATAACCTGTCACACAGAGGACAGAAAACATGCATCAGATTCCAAGGGAAAAGACAGAGTCCGGGCTGCAGAGACCGCCCAGCAGTTAGGAGTGCCTGCTGCTTTTGCAGAGGACCCAAGGCAGGCGGCTCACAACCTCCTGCAGCCCCAGCTCCAAGGATCTGACACTCTTCAGTCCTCGTCCTTCCGGTCACTGCAATCCTGCCCCTGCCCCTCTTAAAAACCGAGACAGTGATGCAGATGTGGACTGAGACGGCGCAGGTGACGGGTCATCAGACAGCCACTCGACCACGATCACAGCCGCCTCCAGACATCGAAAGGTGGGACTCCTCAACCGACGAACAGAAGCCACAGAGGAGGAGAGAGGAGAGCCCCACAGCTGCAGATGCTGCGCTGGGAGGGGCGGTGACTGGGGAGGCTCGGTGGCGGACGTCTGAGGGCGGTCTGTGATCCCGACCTCCCTGTCCAGCTGGGCAAGCTCACTGGACCTACGGACAGCTCAGTCTCTAAGTCATTGCTTGCCAACTGCAAGAGCCTGGGTTTGAACTCACATTTTGAAATTGCGGACATAGGGGCATGCATTTGTAATCCCAGCTCGCTGAATGGGTGAGCACCAGGCCAATGAGAGAATGAGAGACCCTGTCTCAAAAGCCTTTTTTGAGGAAGAACACTCAAAATTATCCTCTGGCTCCCCAACATTTACACACATGTACCTGCACAAACACACTGTTTAAAAAAAAAAAAAAAAAACAAACCTGGGAACTGGAGAGATGGCTCAGTGGTTAAGAGCACTGGCTGCTCTTTCAGAGGACCTGGGTTCAAATTCCAGCACCCACATGGCAGCTCACAACTGTCTGCAACTCCAAGATCTGACACTCTCACACAGATATGCATGCAAGCAAAACACCAATGCACACAAAATAAAAATTATAAAAACAAATTATGAAATATGAAAATAGAAATATGAACAAAAAGGCTAAAATTTAGTGAACGGTATCAGTTTACTAGTTGGATTTGTAACAGGGCAGTGGTGGCGCATGCTTTTAATCCCAGCACTCGGGAGGCAGAGAGCTAGTTCCAGGACAGGTACCAAAGTTACAGAGAAACCCTGTCTCAAAAAACCAAAAACCGGGGCTGGAGAGATGGCTCAGTGGTTAAGAGCACTACTGCTCTTCCAGAGGGCCCAGGTTCAATTCCCAGCACCCACATGGCAGCTCACAACTGTCTGAAGATCCAGTTCCAGGGGATCTGACACCTTCACACCAATGCACATAAAAATAAAAATTAAATAAACCATAAAAAATATTAAAAAAAAACCAAAAACAAAACAAAACAAAAAAAAGACCAAGTTGAATTTGTAAAAATTCAAGAAAAACTGTGAATCCACACATCACACAATGTGACAGGACCCAAGACGACACCCAGCAGTCATGCACAGGAAAACTACCCCCCAAAGAGAGGCTAGGTGGCTGCAGGGTTTTCATCAGAAACGTGGCAGCCAGAAACATGGCAGCCAGAAGCCTGCAGCCAAACGTAAAGAGAGTAAAGAGAAGGCACTTTCTATAAGAGTGCAGTGACCGTGAGACCTCAGAGCTGGAGGCCAAAAGCCCAAGACCAGCATGCAGCCCCGCCTCAGGCGTGCAGGGAATGGGCCAGAGCCTGCATCTTCAGGAAAAGGGGGAACAGAAAAGGCAGCTGCGCCTGGAGTCACCACCACAAATCCCTGTGAATTCAGTGAATTAAAGAAACTGAGGCAGAAGGAGCCCAAGATGAAGGCTAGCCTGTGGTCACAGCCAGTCTGTCTCAGAAAAGCAAAAAGGAAATAAAAACGTTAAGAACAGTGGAGAGATCCTTTTCTGTTTAAACAGCAGCGTAAAAAATGTGTATGATTCTGACAGCAACAGGGACACTGTGGTGAGATTCCCAGGGCGTGAAGCCACAGTGCGCATGGCTCAGGCATGTCGATCATGGCGGGCAATGCAAACACTAGGGTGCTAGCTTACATGTGATGATTGCAATCTCTAGTGTAGCTATTAAAACAGCAGGGCACCTGCCATGCCAGCAGGTGCTGAGGCAGGAGGATCTTAAGTTCAAGATCTGCTTGGGCTATACTGAACTCTAGGCCAGTCTGAGCAATACAGTGAGACCTTGTTTCAAAAGAAAAAGATGGGAGTGTGTCTACATGCAAGAGCACTTACGAGAGATCTGGGGTCAGTTTCTAGCATGCAAAGTAACGTGACTCATAATCCACACAGAGAGATGCAGCCAGAAAACCAATAGGTTCATTAAAATGGGATATGATATGAGAAGATGTCAGACACAACAGAAGGCAGGAGAGGGGAGCAGAGAGACAGAAGGGAGGGAGCGGACTGGGAACTGTGAATTAGTAGACCCCAATCCATGCTAATAGTTTTTTAAAAGATTTTTTGAGTGTATGCCACATCCGTGTGTGGGGATGGCCACGGTCAGAGAGGGCACAGAATCCTAGAGCTGGAGTTACAGGTGGCTGAGAGCATCGTGATACGGGTGCTAGGAACGCAACTCAGGTCCTCTGGAAGAACAGCAAGAACCTTTTGTTTTGTGTTGTAGACAGGGTTTCTCTGTAGCTTTGGAGCCTGTCCTGGAACTAGCTCTTGTAGACCAGGCAAGCCTCGAACTCACAGAGCCCCACCTGCCTCTGCCTCCCGAGTGCTGGGATTAAAGGTGTGCACCACCTCTGCCTAGATAAAAGCCATCTCTCTGACCCCAATAACTTTTAAAGCAGTTAGCCTGTGAGGATTGTGCATGTGTGTGCACCATGTGAGAACGTGTGTGTGCCGTGGGAATATGGAAGAATCTGGACTAGAAAAGCAGTTGAACCCTTGAGCAGGTCTTAACAGGTCACGCTAGTGAGATTCCAGAAGGCAGCTGGGAGTAGCGTGTGCTGTGGAGGCCCAGCCTGAGAAGCTCAGAGAGAAGGATTTTTTTTTTTTAAGATCTCTCTGTGGAAAAAAAAATCTCTCTGTGTAGTGCTGGGACACTCCATGCAGACCAGGCTGGCCTCAAAGTCACAGAGATCCCCCTGCCTCTGCCTGTGCCTGTGCCACTGCACCTGGATAGAAGCTAAGACTTGAAGACTTCAAC